AATGTCGTTTTAAAAAATTTGGCTTTTCTAAGTTTGGACAACTACCCCAAGTGGCTCAAAATAAACAAGAACTGGAATTGGGGGGCAAAGCCCTTTAAATTTTAAATAATGTGGGCCACTGACTCCTTTTGCTAGAACAGGTAACAATAACTGCATAGCAGAGAAATGCTATTGGATCTAGGGGTATGAACTAGAATTGGGGGGAAAAGCCCTTTAAATTTGAAATAATGTGGGCCACTGATCCCTTTCTAGAACAGGAAATAAGAACTGCATGGCAAAGAAACACTATTGGATCTAGGGGTATGCAATTAGTGGAGAAAATAAAAAATATGGTTCAAAAAATCCTGGAATAGGGATATTTTGGAAATATCCATAGGAAAAAACAATAAACAATGGACCACTCAGATAAAACTCAAGAAGAAAAACAAAATGACCCAGAAAATAGAACTTTAGAAAATAAGGAAAGAGCACTACAAAGGCAATTAAATTTAATTCTTTAGAGAGAAAAATGCACTAGGCCCAGAAAACCAGAATTTAACGGCTCAAAATGGGGGTCCAAAATAATAAATACTTCCATGCAATAACAATCATCAGAAGAAATAAAAGTAGGATTCACAAAATCAAGAGTTTAATGGATAATGGAGTAAAGACAAGGGTATATATAAGAAATGTTTCAAGAATCCTTTATTAGAAGGTTCACATCGGAAGGAACTGAGAATGTTGATGAACTTCTTAACATCATCAAACCAATTGTGGCTGAGAATCAAAACGAGAACAAATAGAGCTTACAGAAGACGGGATCATCCAGACTCTAAATTATATGCAAGATTTTGAAAGCCCCAGGGCCGGATGGCTTAAACTTGGCTTTCTTTAAGAAACATTAGGAAATAGTTGGGACTGGCATAGTCTTCCATTCAGGCAAAATGACTCAAGAAGTAAACAAGATATACATTACTCTCATTCCAAAATCAGAGAACCCTGAAAATCCGAATTATCGACCAGCAAGCTTATGAAATATGATATGTAAATTAATTGCAAAGATCCTGGTTAGTAAAATCAAGCCTATTCTGGGAGTATTGATATCCCCGTACCAAAGTGCCTTTGTCCCTAAAAGATAGGTATCCGACAATATTTTAGTAGGCAGAAACTTTTTTGTGCCTGTTTGTAATCTGTGGAGGGGTCACCTTGTTTTTTGAAGGTGACAGTTGTGCTAAGTTTCTTAAAGAATTAATGAAAGTTACTGTGTCCAATCCAAAAAAAAAAATCAGGTCTGATAGCATGCAACATTGATATGGAAAAAGCATACAATCAAATAGAATGGGATTTCATTAAAAATGGAGAAGTTTGGGTTCTCACCAAAATGGACCAACTGAGTTATGGAATTAAAGGCATCCTTTAAAAGATAAGGAACTATAACTGAATTATAAAACCGGCTTTTATAAGTATGGATTAAGCATTTAAGACCCAACTGAGTTATGGAATTAAAGGCATCCTTTAAAAGATAAGGAACTATAACTGAATTATAAAACCGGCTTTTATAAGTATGGATTAAGCATTTAAGACCCAAGCATGGACTTGTTTGGGCTTGCCTCAAAGGGCTTCATCAGAGGTTCAAAGGCAAAACCCCAGCCAAGCCATGATGCTTTAAAAAACACAAAAAGTGCACATAACCAAGGCACATGCTGAGGCGAAAGCCTCTTTAAAGGGAATGTGCCTATGCCTAAATGAGGCACAGGCCTTGAAATGCGCCTTTCTTGTGCACCTAGGTGCACCTTCTAAATCACTGATCCCAACCCAAAACTTAATCCCAACAAGAGGAATAAGACATATGGACCCTCTCTCTCCCCTTATTTATTTGTTTTATGTGGAGAAGCTCTAACCCGAAACATTGTCAAGGAAGCAAGGACCGGTAAAAACAGCGTAGGAATAAAAGGCCTCGAAAGACATCCCATTGGTTCCGATTCTGCAGTTTGTGGTATTCTCTACTCAAAGACAACAATTCTAGCATGCAACAAAATGACAAAAAAATTCTATCTAAACATGCAAAGGCATTTGGACAGCTCCCAAAGTATAGCAAATGGGCCATGGAATTCTCAAGAAATATGCATATACAACACCAGAAAATTCTCTCAAATATTCCAAAAATCCCAATCTCAAGTCAAAGCAACAAATATCTGGGAGCCCTTAAAATCAAAGGGAGGGTAACAAAAAACACCTTCAAGGAAATAGTTGAAGCTATGAAGAATAAACTTAAGAGTTGGAAAGGCAAACTCCTCTCATTAGGTGGTATGATTACGCTACTTAAGTCTGTAACAAGGAATATCCCTCAATTTATGTTCAGCTTTAGAGTTTCTAAAGAAAATCTAGAGCAAATTGACAAAATGTAAAGAAACTTCCTCTGGGCTAAAGATGGAGAGAAGTAACCCATGGCTCTAGTAAACTGGAATAGGGTTTGCAGTGCAAGCCAAGATGGAGGACGTGGCATCAAGCAAATGGAAAAAAATAATAATAATGTAGCAAACATAGCAAAACTAATTTGGAGAAGAGCATCAGGAAAGAGGAGCCTATGGGCGGATCTAACGAGGAAAAATATCTAAAAATAAATCTACTTAGGAGGTAAAAGTGAGACTCGTGAACCTGGAGAGGCATGTTTCACCGTAGGAAAGTGGCTCAACAAGGCATAAGGTATAGAATTGGAAATGGAGAATCAATCAACATTTGGAAGGATATTTGAGTGGGGGAGAAGCCAATTGAGAAAACAATCAATATGGATGAGATTAGTGAAGACATGAGATATCGGAGGTTAAGGACATCGTTGACAGAAAAATTAATCTAGGAATACTAACCTAATAGAAGACAAAATTCCATGTCATATCATCGAGGAGATTAAAGCTATCCCATTACCTCAAAGAAATAGAGATGATGAAATAAAATAGGGATTGGAACCCAAAGGAAAACTTTCAGTAAAATCAGCATATGGAAGTGCACAAAGGAGTTGCACAAGAAATTTTCGTTAAAAAGACAATACAAATAAAAAATTATTGCCCCCCAAAAATAAAAATTTTCCTATGGCTATTAGTTCCAGAGACGCAAGCTGCTGACCAAGAAATTCCCCAACAATAGAAAAATGGACACAGATATTGACTGCTCTTATTGTGGAGAAGTAGAAGGCATTGAACATGTCTTAACTTGTGCCTCTAACAAGACAGTTATTAGCAATAGTGGAGGAGCTTCTTCCTGGGCCAAGAATGAGCCAAGAGAGAACAAGACAGTGGTGGGAAAGAATGGAAGATGAGAACACAAAAGAAAACTATCCAAACTTACGGGAAAAATTAGTTTTATCTTATGGCTAATTTAGAAACAGAGGAATGAAAAATTATTAATAAGGAAACCTTCCCAGTATTATGGAAGAGTGCGGAAGGACTTAATTGAATACTTTGAAGCAAACAAAACATGCAACGAGAGGATCATTATGGGCCCAAAATGAGCCTGGATGAGGTGGCAACCCCCCCCTCCCGACCCAAGAGAAGGTATGATTAAAATCAATTTTGATGCCTCAAGACAATTAAATTGAAAATGTGTCTGTGGTTGTATAGCCAAGGATAGCAAAGGAAGGACCAAACAATAAAAGCAGGTACAATCGGAAGTACAACAATCAACATAGCAGAATTTTGGACAGCAAGAGAAGCACACGAGATAGCAAGACAAAGTGGAGTAGCCAATCCAGATCAAGGGTGATTCTATTGGTGATGGACTGCCTCCTTGAAAAGGAAAACCCTCTGCACACATGTGAAACCCTAGTGGAAGAAGGCAAAAGTAATAGTTGTACAAGGGATTCAGATTGCAAACCAACTTGGTGTGCACAGCCATAGAAGGAGATTCCAAGATGGTCATGGGGTGGTTGCTGGATACGGATTCTGTCACTTGGTGCTATAAGAACCTTCAAAAGAAAGTCAAATGGCAGACAAGGAATATGACAACTAGAAATGCAATGGCTGATTTCCTAGCCACACAAGGGGCTTCTAGGGAACATCTTTACTTGGATGTGTTTTTGTTTCTAGTTTTTTGAGAATTGTAATATCTTTTAAGGGAGAGGCCGTGCTTCATGCCTCACTTTGGGATGCTTGTAACAGTTTCCTTTCCTCATGAAAGTTTATTCACTTAAAAAAATGCAAAAGTAATAGTAAGAGATGGGAAAATGGAGATTTACTATGCTCACAGCCTCGCATATGGAGAGAAGGAAACCAAGTAGTGGAATAGTGGATTGGTTGGAGCATCAAGGTTAATACTGGTTATTATCATTTATTTTCTGTTTAGGCTCCCTACAAGGGCAGAAAAAAATAAGTTCTCAAATTGAAATGTTTCAGCCATATTTTCACCACTTTTATGAAAAAAAAAAAAGTTGTCTGCCCCTTGTACATCAAAATAGGCACAGCACTACTTTGAATTTCAATTAGATATTTTAGCACTGTGTGATCAACCACTACAATGCACTTCTGCACCTCCCTCTCCTTTTTCTTTTCAAACTTCATTTTATTTCTTTACTGTCCTTTCTGCATACTTTTTTCCTTTTTTATTATTGAAATTGCAATTTATTAGAGGATAGTGTCATATCTAGCATTTACATAGAAGTTGAACAAAAGCATCCAACAAACGGTAGTTTGAAGTAATAGATCAAAAAGATGAAGTAAGGGACTCTTGTTTTGATTGTGTATACAATACATTTTATTTTGAATACACAAAAAAGAATTTCAGATTGCAGTTGCTAATTCAATGGCAAATCAAACTAAACAAAGCCAAGAAGGAAAAAATGAAATAAAAAGAAATGAATAAAAGAAGATTGAATTCTGATACACGAACAGCATACAAGATGAATACCTGAACAGTTAACTCTTCCCAAAGTATTTACACTAAATTTATTCTGAAGGAGAAAAAATAATTTTCTTGGTAAAGAATTTGAAAAGAACAAATAAGAAAGAAGAGACAACAGAACTTTTCACCTTCATGAACTTGAGTGCAGAAGGGATGCTTTGGCAAGAACCAAATTGATGCTGATGTAGCAGAGAGATGATAAAAGTAATTTTGTTTTAAGTGAAAAACAAAGCCTCCAAATATTCATCTATATAAGCTAGGCATGGCCAATGATCAGTTCTAATTCGAACTAATGTTGATATATCACATACCTCCATCTGAAAAAGAAGATGGAATCTTGGTGGGAGAAATATGAGAATGAGAATATGTCCCATGTCTCTCTTACTAATGCTGAAATGATTTTCTCTGCCACTTTCACCAACATACTCAAGCTGAAGTGGACCACCATTAAAATCAGTTGCTGAGGTAGTATCAAGGACAGAATCTAGTGTCTCATCTTTCCAGATGATATCCCCGATGACCCCACCATCCTTCATCCTATTGATGAGAGGTCTCCCAGTCACACTTACAATAAAGGGTGCCAAGTGGCGCTCAACAGCTGGAATAAGAGACCCTGAGGGAACTTCCAGTAGCTTGACTGACTGAGTTCCACTGATAGCTGCAGAGCATTTGCCTCCTCTCAAAGGAAATGTCTCCCGTCCAATGTTTGATGAGTTACCACATGCCTCCCACAAAGCAACAAACAAGTCTGAGTAATAGCAAGGAACTTCATCTTCTGGGATGTCAGATGGAACATTAGCCTTGAGAAACATATCCTCAATGCCCACTGAGATGCTTTGAAGATGACCATGGATGATTTGTCCACTCTCTGCATTTGCTTCAATGGAAACATCCACTAGACCAGGCATTGGTTCTCGAGGCTCCAATTCAACCACCACTGGGACTCTGAAGTTTTCCTCCTCTTGAGATTGAGATTCATTTTCCACCAGAACAATATCAAGACAATCCCTTTTCTCTGAAGTATGATCTTTTCTGAGAGATTCACCAAGAAGAAAAGGTATGTGGCACGATGGAATAGACCCATACGGTGAAGAAGATGAAAATGTGAGTACAGTCGCATATATGGCTGGCATAGCCAATGCATCCACTCCATCCAAATTAGTAGCAGGTAAACCCCATATGCGATTGAAGGGCTCAGCTTCAAATCTAATAATACAAGGTATTCTAATTTTGATTCCTGGCATGTGTCGAAAATCAGGGATGCATGAAAAGTGCCTCCGTAATATCACCAAAATCTCTGAAACTTTTGTATCCATCACACGCAATGGCTCCGGTGACTGGCGATTTCTTTCAGTATTTGAAACAATCTGGACATCAGAACTGCCTTCAGGTTCTGTTTCCACATCTACAGGGGCTTCACTGTCTCCAATGCCCTCCAAGTAGCTGGTTCCTTCATCACCAACACTGAATGTAGGTAGAGACAAGGACCATGATTGTTTGACAAGCAATGGAATCACCCTCTCAAGGTAGATATAGGATGACAGATTCCTAGATTTCCTAAGATCATCATATGGCTGAGGAAATTCAGCATGGAGAAATGAACTACCAGGTTGTGATGGTGAAATACTAGGAAGTTGTTCCCCAAGGTTTAGTATGTCCCTAAGCTTCTTTCCTGGTATGCATACGAGCATCCGCAAGTAGATCCTGAAAACGTAAGAATTTCATGAGGGAAATAAAGTTCTCATGTAAAAAGTTTTAAATCTCTTTCATTCCTATAATCATTCTTAGGCATTCTTTTTTTTTCTTGTCCCCTTCTATATATTATTTATCACATTTTTATTTATTTTAAAATGGAAAATTTATTAATTTATGAAAAAGAGTTAAGAACAAATAAATGTGCCAAGCATCCTTATCAAGTGTTAGGCTAGCCCGAGCTACTTAACCCTTGTTTTCTGTTGTTTCATTTTTCAAATAAGTTGGGCATATAAGCTAGGAAACTACACCTCAAAGTTGAGAACGATGAGAGAAATACTGGGAAAGAGAGGAATTTATTGGCCCATGACCCAACTACTGACCTGCCCAAGTTGCATAGTTTAACCCGCTCATCAAATAGATGACCTTGGGTTGGGAGTATCTTGAATCCCCTTGGTAATCTGGCAAACACATTCACTCTTCTCCAGGTGTACATTATTTTTAGGGCTGCAAGTCAGGTTGCCTGACTTGAAGAATTTCAACTACATTGGGCTCAGATTCAGGCTAGGGCCTTTTGAAGTTTAGACAATGCCCTCAATAAAATTTTTCAAAGTTATTGGTCAAAAAAAAAAAAGTTTAGACAATGCCCAACCCAACCTGACCCAAGTTGCACCCTTAATTAATTTCCAGGAAAAAAAAACTATTTTTCACTTGACTATGTTTAGTCATGAAATTTTCCCTGGGTATGGTAGTAGTCAAACCAAAATGAGAAGTAAAGATGCAGTACAGCAATAATTTATTAGTGATAAATAGAGCAACTACCTTGCATTGTCCCGAATCTCTAGATCAGGAAAGTACAGGCAAGTGAATGCCAGAAGGTGGGTAAGTGTAAAGAAAACTCTGGAGCTATTATGATGCATGAGCATTGTCCGACAAATACCAAGAACTTTACTTCCCAGAGACCATGACTTCATTCCTGTATCTGGTCCATGTTTCTCCACTAGAGCAACTACAAATGAAGTAAGTAACTCTAACAATCCATGAGGAGGTATGGTATCATTCTCAGCAATCCTATTGAAAATTGGGAAGTAAGAAGCCAACTGGTAGTCCTTTATGACCTTTGGAAGCATATGCTCATCAAATGTCTGGAGCAGGCGCTCCCCCAACCAACAATGTGAGTGACAGCCCAACAAACGGTCAATGAAAGCAACGATTACTGGAACGAGTCTTCGGAACTCTAATGCCATGTTCACTAGCATCCTCTGCATCATTTGAAATTTTAAACAACCTCATTAGCAATAATCCTCTTTAGAGTAGCAAATATACAAGAAGAAAATAAGAAGTATGCATTCTTTTTTCTTTTTTTTTATAAGTTGAACAACAAGTATACATGTACCATTGCAAATCAACATTATAACAATGATATCAAAGATATCCTCTTGGCACACTACAAGGATAATACATTGGTACTTCTTTTTCATATTTCTCTGTTTACTTTCTTCTGACAAATCAAGGTCAAATCGTGTCAAGAAAAAGGCAAAAGGGCATATGACTGTATGCTAAGAACAACATATCTAAGACAGCACAAAAACCACGGTGAGATGAAGCACAAGGAATTAGCTATCCTTTGATGAATCCAGCAGTGGATGTAAACAGCCAATCATCACAGCAGCAAGGTTAAAACCAAATGTTTAACAATATCCTGTTGATAACTCAGAACAAGTATTACCTCTAAACATGGCACAGGGGTTGAAATAATATGTGATCTGTTACTGTTTGATAAAATAAACAAATATAAAAGGAGAGGAAGAAAGACAAGAGAAACAGCAAGGCTAAAGAAAAACCTGGCATGGAGAAGAGAAGAGAAGAGAGAATAACTTACTCTTCTCTCATAACCAGAATTTTATTTATATGTTTCTTAAGAAAAACAGAAAGGACTAAACTACCCTCTTTTAGCAAAACTTAAGTAGATGGACAATATTACCCTGCTGCCTACTCTAATACAAAATTGGATACTGTAGAGACCTTTATGGGGTTCGGTTTTGTTCTCACTGCAAACGTGAGGGTCCAATTGAAATGTGCAGATTATTGAATAACAAGACAGCTGGTTATGCTAATCAGAGTACACATAATGACAGTTCAGCTACACAGGATGGTAGTATGACAGGGCAGACATCTACACCCACTACTCCACCAGAAAGTAATAGTAGTATATTTACCAAAAAGGAATACATGAGACTTGTCTCACCTTCACAGGATTCCACTTCCACTGCCACACTAGATCAGATAGGTAGCTCATCCTGCTGCTTATCTACCAGCTCTCCAAGGGTCACTGACTATGGAGCCTCCAATCATATGAAAGGCACCCAAACTATTTTTACTCAGTTTCATTCTGTTTCTAACCCTTCACAGCATGTAAGCCTAACTAATGGATCTTCTTCTGTTGCTTCTGGCATTGGTACTGTTAAACCTACATCCCATCTTTTTTTATTTGCCCGTCTCTTATGTTCCCCAATTTCCTTTTAATCTCATGTTAGTTAGTAAATTAACTAAGTCTCTTAATTTCCTGTTACATTTTACCCTATTCATTGTGTGTTTCAGGACTTAATGACAAGAAAGCAGATTGGTGATGGACATGAACTAGGCAGTCTATATTACCTGGATGGTAGTGGTGATAGAAGTTTAGCCTTGTTGTCTTCTTCAATAGATTCTTGGCTTCAGTTACATTACCACCTTGGACATCCTTTTCTCTAGAATATGCATCTTTTGCTTCCATCTCTTAAGTCTCAGTCTAGTCTTCAATGTGAAGTTTGTTAACTAAGTAAACACCATTGGGTTTCCATTCCTTCTAGAACGCATGAGATGTATGTCAAGTCCCTTTGAATTAGTCCGTTCTCTGTCTGGGGCCATGTCTTATTGTTTCTTATTTGGGGTTTTGGTATTTTGTTAAATTTGTAGTTGATCATTCTAGAGCAATTATATTTGATGAAAAGATGAGTCTGAACTGTTTTCTATTTTTTTATGGTAAAGAATTGTTTTCTAGATTTCAATCTTTTATTATGAAAATAAACACACAATTTAATACCATTGTTCGTCCTTTGCAATCTAATAATGCAAAAGAATACTTATCTTCTACAGTGTTTTAAAAGCGCAAGGCACAAAAAAAGTGCAGAGGGTATTTTGCACCCAAGGCACAAGGCGATAAAATTCAAAAAATGTAAAAATCAAAATAAATTAAGAAAACATTAAAAATAATATTTAATTAAAATGCAAATTTTAATTTTAAACTAAATATTTTAACAAGCCTATTATTCAAATTAAAATGCATAACCATAACATATAAAACATATTCAAAGTGAAAATGCAAACAATAAAAGAATTAAGAATCACAAAACCTTTTTTTCTGTAGGAATTAAGAATTTAAGACCCTAACATTGATTTGTTTAGGCTTGCCTCAACAGGCTTGATCAGGGGTCTGGGGATGGAGTCCCCGGCCCAGCCATTGTACTTCAAAAAAACACAAAAAAGCGGAAGAATTAACAAAGGGGCACACCTGAGCTGAGGCACAAAGTGCACCAGGCATACACCTAGGCACACTAGATATGCACCTGTTCAAAGGGGCTGCCCCTAGGCCTAGGCAAGGTGCAGACCCTAAAATGCACGTCACCTGTGGGCCTAGGGTGCGCCTTTTAAATCATTTGTAGTGATTATGGAAGTTACCAAGGCTCTTCTCCTTCATATGTCAATCCCAAAACCCTATCGGAATGATGCTCTCACTGCTTGCTTTCTGATAAACAGGATGCCGTCATCTGTTCTTGGTGGAAAAATTCCCTATAAAGTTCTTTTTCCTAATAGTCCTCTCTTTTCTCTTACTCCTCGGCTCCTCGCACTTTTGGTTGTGTTTGTTTTGCCCATCAATTTGATTCCAAACTAGATAAACTTGGCCTTTGTGCTATTAAATGTGCCTTTCTTGGTTATTCCCAGACTCAAAGGATATAAATGTTACAGTTCTATTACACATCACCATTATATCTCTATTGATGTCACCATTTTTGAGTCCACTCCTTATTTCTCTTCTTCTTCTTCTTCCAGTTCTTCTAATATCTCACTTCCTATACCAGTTCTATCTCCTAAGCCACTTATGAGTTATGACACAGGTTTACACTGGACGGCTTCCTGCTCACATTCAGCCATAAATTGCTGAGACATCTGATAATTCTAGAGCTACATCCAACCTTAATATTACTCTAGGAAAGGGTAAGCATTCTTGTACTATGCATCCTATCAGCAATCTTGTTTCTTACTTTGTCTCCTCCAGTCCATTCCCTTTATTTCAGCCTTATCTGCCATATCTATCCCTAAGTCTGTACAAGAGGCTATGTCTAACTCTGGATAGAGGGCAGCTATGAACAAGGAGATTTCCACCCTACATCTTAATGATACTTGGGAGTTAGTACCTCTTGCACCTGGTACGAAATTTGTTAGGTGTCGATGTTTTTTTTTTCCATCAGCAACTAAAAGAAGATTTCATTAAATAAAGAAAAGAGGTACAAGTTTATGAGTATATACCATCAAGTATTTACCTGATGGCCTGATGGTCCTATTGAGAGACTTAAGGCTCACCTTGTTGCAAAGGAGTTTACCCAAATATATGATGTTGACTTTGCTGACACTTTTTCACCTGTTACTAAGATACCATCAGTTAGGGTTACTATATCTCTTGCTGCAGCTTTTCATTGGCCACTTTATCAATTAGATGTGATGAATGTCTTTCTGTATGGTGATTTTCATAGGTGTATATGGAGCAACCTCTTGGGTTTATTGCAGATCACTTCTTACTGATGCAATAAGTGATATTTTATGCATATTGCCAAATAACCTCTTTATGATAACAGCCGAAGTGGCTTAGCTAAAAAGCTTATTACTTTTCTTTTAGTAAATAAGTTTTTAAGGAGGTTCTGGGCTCCTTAGTGGCTGAAATTGAAGTTGGGTAATTAACTATAGCCTTGAATATTTTACTGTTTAACTGTTTTATCCACTAAAATAGAAAATATTGTTTAACTGTTTTTTTAGTGTTAAAAGAAACCAAGTAATTCAAGTAGAAAAGATAATTCTGTTTCTAACCCACGTTTTGCATCCTTCTCCACTCTTCTTAAAGCAATTATTTCACACAATAAAAGAATAAAACTAAAAATAACAATCTAAATGTACCTGTAACCTGTGAAAGATGGTAGACTCCATCAGAACCCTAATGGTCGAAGAATCACAAATAGAATGAGGGGTGGCGCCTATCAAGAACTTATGGAAGGTACGGAATGCCACTGCAGTTTCTGTGCTCCATGGGGGCAACCATTTGAATGCGGAAACAGAGACATGACCGTCTTCAAAGAGTTTCACCACAGAAACTTCAGTGTTCACTTCTTCACTTAAAACACCACTGGGATTTTCGGTCCTCGAGAGGTCAAGACAAATGGCACAGTAGGCAAGGATATCTAGCTTCAACGCTTTCAGCGCAAGTGGATCAAATACAGTGGGGTAAAAGCTCAATACCATATTGAAAATGGGATTTTTCTTTGTTAGTTCTCTCCTCTGTGTCAAACCAACAAAACCCAACAACCAGTGGATAGCAAGTAAGCGGAAAACCAGATGATGTTGAACTTCCCTTGAAATTAGCATCAGACGCCGCGCAATCTCAGCCTCTTGTCCATCAAATGCATCTGAGAAACGCGAATATAGCATGAGAACAACATGGCATAGGATAGGATCATACGAGTAAAGCAGGCCAGAGAATTGCACCTTCAACAGAGATGCCTGCAACTCCAGAGCCACTGCAACGCGCATTAGCATTGACATGAATTCTATCATTCCACAGGGGGTTAGAATCTGGGGCCTTTCCAGCAAGAAAGCCATCACTTTCCGAAGCTCCCTGATATTCGAAACTGAAAGCTCCTTATTCAAACCTGAACTTGAACCTGCTTCCCCTGTCGCAAGGAGTGAATGTGGAACATTGAAAGGCACCAGAGGAACTGATGTGGTGAGAATCGAAACATTCGTTTTTGAGATCACGAGATCGTGGATCACAGACGTTAACAATAGAATGTAGCTCTGTGAAGCATGAGTCCTCTCGCTCTGACACAAGCTCCACAAATGACCGGCAATCTCAGCAAGCAAACAAGGGTAGTTTCTCTCTAATTCCCTCAAGCACACACAGGCAATTGCTCTGGTCTGCCGATCCAAGCCGTGGTTCGGCCTATTAATAACCGTCAAGAGCAATTCGGTCAAGCTCTCGACATGCCGAATTGCACTCTTGAATCCATCAATGGTGATAACAACCGATGTAACCGAAATCATCATCTGTTCCTTAAGGGAATACGTCACTGAGATTCCATCCATGGGTGCTTGAACTACAGCACGAAGAGCTTCGATTAATCGGCCCAAAGCCTCTTCGACCTCGAATTCTCTAATCAAGACGTCTGCGAACTCTTCGAGGAAAACAATGAGCTGGAGCTTGAGCGGGAAATCCTTTCTGAGAATGGAGGAGAGAGAGACTTCGAGAAGGGCAAGACCTGAGTACTGTGAGAGCCATCTTTCTCGACGAGGGGCTCCAGATTGGAAATCGTCGATCAGAACCTCCCATTCCTGTGTTGAGAGCTGCTTTAATGGCTTCTCCATCTATATATAAAACCCTAGAAAGCTATCAATGCGCTAATTTTACTGGGAATATAAGAACTGAACCAGAGAAAGAAACTCTTGAAAGAAAACAAAGTAGGCATGTAGGGAAACAAAGTAGGCATGTAGGAAAGCCGCGGAGGTAGCGCCGGAACAAAGAACCAAAAACTGAAAAACTTCAGAGAGAGAGAGAGAGAGAGAGAGAAAGAGAGAGAGATCTGGGCGTCGGTCTGGGAGATCAATTCTAGTGATTCCATGAAATCTGGCTCAATTTGGAAGGCTCTTAGAGCTGCTAGATTGGAATAAGTAGTGGGACCCCATAGTATTTTTCGATAAATGACAGAATTCCACCTTGTACTTTGGGAGTAGTCACATCTTAAACCCCGAAGTTTCATTTGCGACAGCCCTTATTTTTTGTCGCGTCTACTCTGCGCCAGCCCTTAGCTCTGTTAGTTAACTTTCTCAAAATGACTCTACCTACCCCCCTGGACACCTCAAGGCTCAACCTATGGGTGAAGGCAAAGACTCGATCCTAGGCCTCTCCTTCGCAGGTTAATTGGCACCTTCCACAAAATGTTTTTATGAGATTGCTACGTGCATTTTTAAACATTTCTAAAATTAGGATTCATTGTTTGTGGTTGAATTGGAATCACCTATTCCCTACTCCCATTTGGTTTGGACTTCAATTGGAATCGGATTCTAATTGTTGTTAATTGGTTCAACCGGAAGCTAGAATTTGAATTCGCCGAAATTTCCAATTTTGCCTCTGTTCAAGTGGTAATGACAAAGAGGAGAATAAGACGAAGAATAAGGGAGAAAGGATTGGAGAAGAAATAAGAGGAACGGATTTGCTTTGTTCGGTTGTTGTCACAATGGTGGCAATGGGAGGTGAAGAAGTGGAAGAGGGGAAGAAAGAGGGTGGATCTACTAGATTCAAGTGGGTAGAGATTTGGAAGAAGAAGGGGAGGAAAAGAAAATAAATTATATGGGAATAAGAATAAGAGGAATCTACCAATACCGACCATCAAAATATTAGTAGTGGCGGTGGCAACACATATGAGGAGGGAAAAGGGGGTGAATAAGAGAGATAGGGGGGATGAAGAAGAAGAGCAATAGGAAGAATATATGAGAGAGGGGAAAACGGCCAGTTGACGATTAGTCTTACCTTGCCAGAGATGGTAGTTGTCGACAGCTACCTTGGATGAACGTACAAGGACTTGTGGTCCATAGACCTGTTCATGGGCCAAGCTCAGGCTTGGCTTTTGCCAAAATTTGAATGGGGCCTGGCCCGAAGCCCGACACAATGTAAGTTAAGCCCATGAACAGGCCTGGTGGTCGAGTAGGGCACTATAATGAGAGGAGAGGTTGGAATGGGAATCACATCCCCAATTGGGTGGAAATAGCCATTTCTACGTGTGGAAATCCCATTACACCTGGAATGGGAATGGGAAACCCATTCCGATCAACTAAGGCCATGTTTGGTTCACTGCTCTATGCCTCATTCTTTTAATTCTTGTTCATTATGGGCAAGATTGAGCAATAACGAATAACATTAGAGTGTTTGGTTACAAAATTCTTACCATGGGTCACATTCTTTTTATAATGAAAAATAAGTCCATAGCACAAAAATTGAAGTAGCCTACAGCATGAAAAATAATCATGCCCCATCTTGTTTGTTTTCATTCTTTGAGGAAACTCTGTCTACAAACCGTTACCATAGATGTTTACTATCATACTACTACGGATGTACTTTTACGAAAGCACTCTTACAAAAGTACTTCTACACAAAATCGCTTTTACAAAGGCACTTTTATAAAAAGCATTTTTGTAAAACCACTTTTGTGAAAGTACTTTTATCAACATATTTGTATGAAATTACTTTTACAAAAGTACTCTTACATAGGACACTTGTCGATCTGAAAATAATTCATTTTTAGGAAAAGAAAGTGTTTGGTTCATAGCAATATTTTCTCATTCTATCTATTTTTACCCATTATTGTCCATTTTAGAATTTCATGTAAGAATGATAATTGAACAAACATGGCCTAAGTGGTTGGAATTGGAATGGACTATTCTTATTCCGATTCTAGGTGCCTATCATTTGTATGAAATGAATTTTGTAGAAATTTTGATAAAATACAAAAAAAAAGTCATAAAATAAAAAAAAAACATGGCCAATTGTATGAAGTATATAAAATACAACATATGATTTGAAAAAAAAAGAAAAAGAAAACAAAATACAAATATATATATATACAAATAAGGAAAAAAATAAAATATAAATCATTTAAGTTTGTAATGAAGTGAAAACAAAATCAACAAAACATAAACTTAGAGGTTGGGACCTACCCTACAGGGGTTGGTTCCAGGTTTTTGGAGCAGGAACTTACCTTGTGAATGTTAGTTCCAAGGTCAGTTGTGGCCTTGGCGATTTTGGAGTCAATTATAGGGTTTATGCATGGAACTTGTTCTTCATTTACTTCCCATTCAAAATAAAAAAAGAAAGAAAGAAACATGTTTTTTAAAAACTTGATTTTTAATAAACATAATACATAGTTTAAAACTTATATTATCTTTATTGATTAAAATGATAAATTTAATATATAGATTATCATAATATATTAATATATAGTTGAAAAATATCGTTAAATTTTAAATTTTGTAAATATTACATTTTACATTATTTATTATACACATTCAAATATTAAAATGAAAACAAGACCAAATCACTTAAGTAACTCAATGGTCAAGTGAGACTGTGGCATTTGTAACCATGAGTGTTGGGGTTTAAATCTTTGCATCCTTAAGAGTATTTTGGGGTTTATTTCAAGTCAAGTTTAGTTCGATGACTTGTTCGACCAATGTTGGTTCCACCAAGGCCAACCAAGACTAGTTCATCAAACCGGTTCTATAGGATTAACCCCTAAACCATAAAACTAGCTTGTGTGGGGGTCAATTCCATAAATTTGGAACCATACCTACCTTGTAATTGAATGGGTATAGTTAGTTCAAAGCTAGTTCAATGTTGATTCCATTCGGTACCAAGTAGAACCTAACCATTTGCTCATCCATAATTAGTAGGAAGCAAAATAATATATCTAAACATTCATGATGAAAGCCAGTTGATTGGTTCACCACTTTTATGACATAAGTTAATTGGTTGTAAGTTCTTCCAGCATAATATCTTTCTAATTGATGTAACCAGCCAACAAAAGAAATATCACAGTTCGAAAACATTATTCAACCAACAGAGTATGAAAGTAAAGGTTCAAAGGTATCACAAATATTTCAAATATGTATCACAATATGCTTTAGACATGCATAAATGCCATGAAAAAATATGATAAGTTGCATATTAGTACCATGTACTTCATGGTAGTCTCACTTTACCTAAACTTTAAAATGTATCACCAGAGTACCTAAACTCTTGAAAACCGCCACCTTAGGCCCCTCGTTAGTATTTCATTAGTTATCTAGCACACGTGATGTCACATGTGATTTTAAACTTTTAAAATTCCAAAATTGCCCTCCAAAAGAAGACATTATTCATCATATTTTTCATCAACACTAAACCATAATAGTAGCAATAAGAGGTATAAACCCACCACCAATCCACCTCCTCTCCAAGATGCTTTGATGCTAATATTAAGTCATCATTTAAAGTCATAATGAAGAATTCCTTGTCTTTACAGTTTTAGATGAATGGAGCGAGTCCCCCAAATATAGGTGGCATATGGAAGAGACCAAATCGTCAATGACTTGCCAAGCATGGGGGTACGCCAACATATGGAAGAGACCAGTTCATTGATTTTATAAATGTATTTGGTTGTTTATGCTAGTTAATGCCAACTTGATAATTTTATTACCCATTTGTAACATTTGTTAAAGATGTTGGAGTAAATTGGCATTTTTCAATAGTTTAAGTATTATCATGGCACATTTTGAAGTTTAGGTACTAAAGTGAGATTACCCTCAAAATACATGATACTAATATGAAATTTACCCAAAAAAATAGAATATACATAGATATGTAAGGAAATTTTGAGTAATCATAAAAGTTACATGCTTTGATGGTCTATGTGAATTAAGGACTATTTGGGCACAATTAATAAATATTGAAATTTTAATGGAATAACTAGAATTTGAATGTATATTAGCGTATCTTAATCATAAAAATATCAACATAATTTATGTTAACATTTGTAAATATATAAATTAAAATAATCAGTTTTTAATATTTATTGGTAAACATCAACTATAAAGAAAGAAACGGTATGAAAGTTGTGATTTAGAACCCATGTAACCATAACAAGCAATTAGAGCATATATGTTAACATTGTCTTTCAAATTAAAGGCTAATGCTAGAATCTTTTCTTACTTGTAGGTTTCATATAAAACCAGTGTCTTATGGCAACGTTCAAAGCAATAATACACACGATATGCATAAGAGGGACAATAACATTAGGATGCGTTTGGTTAGAGGGAATAGGACCCTGGAATTGGAATCGGAATGGGTCTTACAGTTTGGTTGAGTGGACCATTCTTGCTGGAATGGGATTCCCCCATATGGGGGAATGGCCATTCCCGACCCCACCCCAAGGAATGTGATTCCCATTCCGGTCCATTTATTTATTGACAGAAAACACCCTATTTGATTTTAACCCTTACTCCATTAAAGTTTGAAGGCTGTGTAAGCAATTCCTTCAACCTCCATACTACCCGCTGTGGTGCCACCGTCGACCCCATCTCTGATGAAGTAAGACAACCATCAACCAACCCCATCTTTGATGAGTTAAGACTGTTGTCGACCATCTTTGGTCCTCTCCTCCTCCTTCTTCTTCTTCTTCCTCCAAATCAGCCACCACCGTTGCCGCTGCCAATCCCATCTCTTCAATTTCTAGATTTTTGTAAATATCATAAACCAGAGAGTAGAAGCATGATGTACGAACACAATGTGAGAATGGAGTTAAGGAAGTTGACGGAGCAAAGAAATTCATCAAGGAAGAGAAGTTTCAGGTCGTCGATCTCAACAACATGTCTATGGAATCTATCCCCAATCCGTCTCTGGATCTCGCCACTATCAGCAACTTAGATATTTCTGCTATCTACAATTTTTTATTAGCCTATTGGTTTCTATTTTGCTTAACTCTTGGAGTACTTTTTATCTCCACATATCAAATCTAAATGCAGTAAATGAGTCTCAGATTGTATGGCTTCTGGTTCTTCTAC